CTCGCTTTGATATTTTTGCTCACCTCATCACCTCTGCGTAACTCATCGCCTCGTCTATCCCCGGAAAGGCGCTCATGGCTTCCTGCATCATCTTCTTGCCCATGCTGAGCATGTTGTCCTCCTCAAATATCTCGTCCGGCAGCTCAGCCACTCCCAGGCTGGGATCAATCTCCTGCACAGGCCAGACACATGTACATACGATTCATCATTTATCATTACAGGGAGGTATTCATGAAAAACATGTCACCGGCCTTCTGTCACTTCCTGGTGACACAGAGACTCACAGACCAGGGATGGGCCACATAGGATTCAGGTGAGGTCTGTGGCATTGCAATGCATGTGGTCTGACAGCTCTGTAGATGTGAACACGGACTGAATGATATGAAGTTTGATATTATAAACTATTAACTTTTTTTATAAAATACCTTTTTCACCACTTGCTGCATCTCAGTGCTGCAGATCTCCTGCACGCTCTTTGCGGCCGCATCTCTACATGCACTTTAGCTATGGCTGCGTTGGATTTCCTGATGGCAATTGGGTTTCCATTTACTTTCACCTGAAGCCAACCCTCCCGGTACCCGAAGCCAAGCCTACCCTCCAGCTACCCGTGCGGCCGCATCTCTACATGCACTTTAGCTATGGCTGCGTTGGATTTCCTGATGGCAATTGGGTTTCCATTTACTTTCACCTGAAGCCAACCCTCCCGGTACCCGAAGCCAAGCCTACCCTCCAGCTACCCGAAGCCAAGCCTACCCTCTAGCTACCCGAAGCCAAGCCTATCACACGCCTACCCTCCAGCTACCACACGCCTACCCTCCAGCTACCCAAAGCCAAGCCAACACTCCAGCTACCCAAAGCCAAGCCTACCCTCCAGCTACCCGAAGCCAAGCCTATCACACGCCTACCCTCCAGCTACCACACGCCAACCCTCCAGCTACCACACGCCTACCCTCCAGCTATCACACGCCTACCCTCCAGCTATCACACGCCTACCCTCCAGCTATCACACGCCTACCCTCCAGCTACCACACGCCTACCCTCCAGCTATCACACGCCAACCCTCCAGCTACCACACGCCAACCCTCCAGCTACCACACGCCTACCCTCCAGCTACCACAAGCCAACCTCCCGGCTTGAGGTTCCAGGTTAACATACTGGACCCACATTGCTTTGCCAAAAAATGTTCTGCGATGTATGGATTTGGGCCTGCCCAGACATTCCTTTCTGCCCAAACCCAGACATAAAGCCCCATCCTTAAAACTATGGGAGCAAGACCTACAGGAGTTCTTTAAAACTGTAAAACTCTTCCAAAAGAAAATCTAATTGTATTCCACGTGTATCTGTACAAAAAAGAAACCAATGGCACGTTTCTGCCTTACTCAGCCTTAGTAATGGCCGTATAAGACAGAAACGAGTCAGCTGTTGGTGATGGTGGAGGCAGTGTGATGCTTTGGGCAATGTTCTGCTGGGACACCTCGGATCCTTCATGTGGATGTTACTGCGACACGGACCACCCACCTAAACATTGTTACTGACCAAGTACCCCCCTTCGTGGAATAGGGATTCCCTGATGGCAGTTGTCTCTATAAGGAGGATAATGTGCCGTGCCACACTGCAAACATGGTTGAAGAATGGTTTGAGGAACACAACAATGAGTTTGAGGTGTTGACTTGGCCTCCAAATTCTCCAGATCTCAGTCCAATGGATCATCTGTGGGATGTGCTGGAGAAACAAGTCCGATCCATGGAGGCCGATCACCTCACAACTTACAGGACTTAAAGGATCTGCTACTGACGGCTCGGTGCCAGATACCACAGCACACCTTCAGAGGTCTAGTGGAGTCCATGTCTGGACGGGTCAGGAAAAGGGGGACCTGCTCAGTATTAGGCGGATGGCCATAATGTAATGGCTGATCAGTGTATGTATGTTTGTGAATGTCGTCATTTTTATTGTGTACCCCGGCTCGGAAGGCTCTTCTACAGGAACGATGGAGCGTGTGAGCAATGTTCTAGTCACATCAGAGACCAGAGTCCACTTACCATAGCAAAGAGGTTATCATAGCCGCGCACTTTGGTGGGGACCTTGGAGAACTTCTGGTCGAAGGCGTCGGAGATGTTGTGGGCGGGGTCTGTGGATATGATCAGCACGCTCTCCCGGATCCGAGACAACTGCACGGCCAGGCTACAGCTGAGGGGGACAGATGACAGATGCCGGTCACTTCCATATCCCCATGCAGGTATGACCTCATATACAGGAGAAGATATACATCTGCAGGAACCACGCTGCAATTAAAGTTCATGTAAAGCATGTTGCATGCGGAAGGATTAGAACCCATGCCGGGTTTTTACTGCCATTTGTGCCTACGCCGTCTGTCACCTTCACAAAAGTCAGTTCCCTGCAACCATGAGAAAACTGGGAGAGTGCACAAAGCCTGAAGCCGTATCGCAGGCATCCCCTGATCCCATTTGGTGTGCTAAAGTCAAAGGGTTAATGGAATGATGAGGCTGCAGCTTCCACTGTAACACTAAACTGGGTCAGCCACGCCACAAGGGAACACACACAAAGAGGCTCCTCTACATGTCCTCTGAGGCGAGTGATTGATGGAGGCTCCCGAAGCAACCTCAGGAGTTGCTGTCAATCACTTGCTTTGGAGAAGGAGCAGAGGCGTGTCTTCGGTGTGTCTGTCTAATCGCGTCCGTGCAGGCAGCACCCTCATGATGATCTGTAGTCCTCTCCTGAGATCTCCATAGGAACCTACAAGCCAAGGAGCCACCCTTAAACTGGAACGTAAGGGGCCAGCGACATATGTGGCACACACATCATTTCCTGTAACCACAGAGCTTACAATGGAAGGTCCTTATCTCACATACATGCAAGGGTCAATTCAGCCAGCATGTCTTTGAAGTGCGGGAGGAAACCGGAGTACCCGGAGGAAACACACGCGAGCATGGAGAGAACATGCAAACTCCATGCACATCGGGGCTGATTTTTAAACCATTCACACAGCTCTTTGCTGTGCAAATGAGCGCCGCCACACTGTATGGCCACTAGAGGGAGCTGAGGAGCATAGGACATTTCTGTGCTCCTCAGCTCCACCTGGTGGCTACATAGGGCTCTGCATCTAATTCGCACAGTGAACAGCTGTGTGAACGCTTTATAAATCAGGCCCAGAGGTTTAATATCATCTTAATTACTTCTCCTCGCCCCCCACAGGACAGTGCTTGAGCAACTCGCTGCTCAGGGACCAGGCAATGCATCCTGGGAGAGAAAGGAGGAGGTGAAATGCTCATGCCTGGAAGTACAAACTATTTTCTAGGGCTCGGACAAACACAGCAGCAGGGAAGCACAGGAAAGTGCAGATGGGCCCTCAAGAGGACCTGTCATGTGCTATGAATGCATAAAAGGGGCAGATTATCTTTAATTAATACTTGCTAGAGGCTTAGTGGTGGCCATGCTCAGACAGTGCCAGACCCATCCCCTGGAGGACAACATAAAATGCAAAAGCATGGATAGGACTAAACTCCCCAGCATGCCCTGACCACCATTTTTGCAATAATAAGCCCTCACGGGCAGGGCTCTCCTTACTCTTGTCTTGAATTGAATTGTGATTGTGATGTCTGCCCTATATTGTAAAGCGCTGTGCAAACTGTTGGCGCTATATAAATCCTGTATAATAATAATAATAATAAAAACAAGACTGCTGGCTCCCAGATGGTCTCTTATGTACTAACATGCCAATCATGTGCTGCCAATATGGGACTTGTAGTCCCACCTCCTCCCCGGCACAGCAGATGTGACTCCTACAGAGATGGTTTCTCCCACGCATCTCCCCACGAGCTGCTCAGTTGGTACAGTCCACCTACACCCAGCTCCTGCCCGGCCTACGCAGGACAGTCCACGCCGTTCACCTGCAGGTGGTCTTGCCCACTCCTCCTTTCCCTCCCACGAAGATCCAGCGGAGGGAGCGTTGCTCTATCACGTTGACCAGGGTAGGCTCCAACGGCTCCACATCTGGGGCATCTTCAAACTCCTCATCTACCGGCGCAGCCATGTTCGTTCAGACTCACGTGACCTCAACCAGCCAATCCACATAGAGCCGCGCTATCACATAGAGATGATAAGAGGCCCGTCCTCCGCTGTCACCGAGGCAGACCTTCCCTCTCGCTGAGTGGTCAGGCAGCATGTCAATCAATGTCACTTGCTTCATTTTCATAAAGCGGTGTCCTATTGGTGGACTTGCATAGCGGTTCTAATGGGGGGATAGGCCGGAGAAGGTGCCTATCAGAGTATAACACGTGACAAAAAAGAGTCCCGAACCGATCATTGGCTAAGGGCCGTGGAAGCACGCCTAGATACGTAGCCTGTGTTCTGATTGGAAGCATGCCTCCAAAAGGCGCGTGCCGATTGGCTATTTTTCCCGTCTTTCCTATCTTCTCGGCGACTCACGTAATTGCGTGACGTCGCCCTACGTGACGGCTTTGGCGGTATACCAGTGAGGGCGCCGGGCTCTTCTAAGGAGATACTGAGGTGGCCTCAAGATGGCGGAGGAGAGTCCACGGCTGGCGGCAGGGGAGGACAGTGAAGAGGAGGAGGACGGAGAGGAAGCCGCAGAGGCCCCGGCGCTAGAGAACAGTAAGAAGGTTGCTCCGAGACCCAAGGACGATAAAAAAGAAACCGCCGTCACCCCTGAACCCC